GAATTCAGATTCAAAGTAATACAAGCAGTTTTTTTAGATAATTATTATCTTTTTTATTTCAAAAAAAAAATAAATTCTCTGTGCTTTTAGTTGAGTTCTAAACTGATATTATTGATAATTTCATATTCTGGATAAATATTATCAGAGATTCGTGATCTGCTATTCAAGATCATCTCATTGATATTTCAGAATTGTTAATCATTTTCAAAGACTCTGTACATATTTGTATTTGAGTAAAGTTATTTTCCTCCAGATATTTTAATGATAATAATCTTTCCGAAAGCAGTTCATTGTCACAACGTTTCAACTGAGACATTATATGTCTCTTGAATCTTTTTTGTGCTTAGATAGGTAATCTTACTTTGATTCGGATTGTATTTTGTTTCTTATTATAAAAAAAATAAAATATGTCCTTTGTTTAAGAATGCGAGATAATATACAATACAGTATTTGTAAAATCTATTTTCCTTATATTTAGTATAAAACGCAGAGATGCAAAGTTAAAAAGTACTGGTTTTCGAATTTATTAATAATATGAAATGCGTGTTTTATTCTGGAATGTTCGAAAATCACGCAACGGTAAATTGAAATTGTATTGTCACATGATCATGAATCAGAATGTTTTTCATCAAGCTTGTCTTGTGACTTGTAATCAAATAAAAGTTTTCTTCGAATTTAAAAAACATGGTATTGTCTTGTATTTCCTTTCATTTCTGAAATGAATTCATTAATGAAACTTTCACTTTTTTCAGGATAATACAGAGAAAGATCTTTCTGATCTTCTAAAACGACCAGGTTATTATTTTTTAGAATTATTTTGTAAGATACGACTTTTTATACTAAAAGCTATATTTGAATTTTTATACTTTGCAGACTCCATTTTGGAGCCAGGCGTTTCAGAGCTTGCAAATAGTTTTATTGAAACATCTGGAAATCCTTCCGACTTGGTTGTATACTTGTCCGATAGTTATACTGGTGCTTCAGAGCAGATACGGTATATACAAGATTTATTTAATGAATTTTGTGAAGGCGATACGGAAGCATTAGTGCAGGATATTATGAGCAAAATGGTTTTAGATAAATATGATAATGCGAGCATCGAGCAGTCTTTCAATAAAAATTCAAAGGTATTTTGAATTTCAATGATATTACACGCAATTTTTCTTATTAATAAATTGGTCATTTATTTTGAGACTTTAAATTTCATAGCAATTATTACAAAATACTCTGGGTTTAGTAGAAAGTCCATATTGGCGTAATATCATTTACCAATTATCAGTTAAATATCCTACAAGCTCTTTCCTTAATATACTTATAAAGGTAAGCCATGTTTACAATAAGAATACTCCTTATAGTTAATTAAAATTTTTAATTTTTACACGCTTAATTAATTCAGGCTATATCAGAGAAAGGCTTGACTCATGAGATTCAACATTTACCAGCAACATCTACATATGCCAATGTACAAC